AAAAAAAAAAAAAAAAAACAAGAGAAAAGGAAGGAACAGAGGGAGTAGAAAGAGAAAGAAAGAAACACACTAAAATACCATCTGGTAAACTTCTTTAAAATTCTGTGACTTCCTTTCAGTTCACGCTGTATTGTTTTAACCCTTGTAAAGAGCTGGAATTAAGGCTCTATCTACTACTTGTCCATCAGTCTGTTTCTGTAAAGTGTTTGCCAGTTTATGTTAAGCAAACTACATACTGAAACCTTAATACAACAAATTATTTTGCTTGTCATTTTTTTTTTTTAGCTGATAGTAGTAGAACTCTGAATGTGGATTCCACTGCAATGACGCTACCTATGTCTGATCCAACTGCATGGGCCACAGCAATGAATAATCTTGGAATGGCACCACTGGGAATCGCTGGACAACCAATTTTGCCTGGTATGCTATTTTTAATCACGTCACAAGTGTTTCTTTTTATTGACCATGTGGTAATAAATATAACAGTATGACACAACTTATTTTGAAGTTGACATTTACCAGATTCTGCCTAGAGTGTGCATTTTTGTAATATGAGCTTTATAAGCAGGGTGGCCAGTAGTTACTAGTATACTCCTTATTGCACTATGGACTAGGGATATAGCTGATACAAGATATGGACATTAATATTTAAATAGGTTGTCAAAATAAAAGGCAACAGAATTTGGCAAGGAATTATAAAGTTTATCTAATTTTATAGATTTAGAGGAGACAAATAAACATGGAGTGGAAATGAGAATTGACTTAGACACCTCAAAAATCTTAGATTCCTAAACTGGGGAAGAAGAGATGGTAGGGAACATTCCAAAGTGGTTCACATTGAATAACTGTTCATATTTTTTTAAACAAAGTAACCAGTAAGAGAATGGGCATGTTGTACTTACTCCAGCTCCACTAAAGATAAAATCAGAAGAAAAATGCCACAGCCTCTGAAGGGTTTGGTTTAAACACAAAAAAAGCTTCTATACTGTCAGAACCATTAACCGTTAAAATGGATTTGTGAAGACATTAGGGAATTGCCATCTATGGAAGCCTGGAGTGCTTTTAAAATAGCCTAAATATTAATCTTCGCAGGTTCATCCAATTGTGATCCTACTTTTAAAATTTTTTTTTTTCAACATTTATTTATTTTTGGGACAGAGAGAGACAGAGCATGAATGGGGGAGGGGCAGAGAGAGAGGGAGACACAGAATCGGAAACAGGCTCCAGGCTCCGAGCCATCAGCCCAGAGCCCGATGTGGGGCTCGAACTCACGGACCGCGAGATCGTGACCTGGCTGAAGTCGGACGCTTAACCGACTGCGCTACCCAGGCGCCCCGTGATCCTACTTTTAAAAGAATGGCAGGAGCAGGCCCATCGAGTACCTTGCTATTCAAAGTATAATCTGCATAACCTGGGAGCTATTAAGAATTGCCAAATCTTAGGCACTAGCCCAGAGCTACTGAATCAGAAGCTGCATTTTAACATGATCCCCAGGCTATTCACAAACACAGTAGAGAAACGGATCTAGAGTAATGCCACTTTGTTGTGCCATTTGTCTATATAGTTAGTGACCTCCACCCCTCCCCCCAAAATAATTTCACAGTTCCAATTCAGATTTTGAATCCTTATAAGGTATAATGGGGGCATGCAAGTGTAGGCAACAATACTTTATAATCTTAATAATTAAGAAATGTGATTACATAGAAAACTAGGAAACAAGCTTAAAAGCAGCCAAATATAAAGGAAAAATATGTAAATGAGAAATGGGTGGAGAATGAAGGTGCTTGGATTATGTATGTGGCAGAGGCAATGAACTGTCCCACCAAACTATAATTTATGCCTTGGACTATAGTTGACTAGACTGCATCCTACTCCATGAGACCAACCATGATTGAAATGAGCAACCAGGGATCCTTTTAGGGTGAATGATTGGACCATAGATCTCCTTGGGTTTTGAATGACTAGTGGGGCCAATCTGGAATCAGCAGGTGTTATGACAGGAGCCACTATTGCATCATGGTTAAACATTCAGACTCTGGAGTCCATCTGCCTGACTTCCAAACCTGTTTCTTTCACTACTTTATTTTGAGTAGTTAAATATCTTCTATGAAACTGTTTCCTCATTCATAAAATCAGACTAATAATACTTAACCCCTTAAGATTTTTGTGACAATTAAATTGTCACAAATGCACAATGCCTGCCTTAGCACAGTGCCTGGCACATAGTGCTCAAACGTGTTAGCTATTAAAATATTTTTAAAATCATTATTAATATACTTTTTATACATATTTCTAAAGGATGTAATGGGTCTTTTTATTTTTTTTTTTTTTTTTTTTT